TTTCATGGCAAATCTTCCTCAAACATCTCTCAGATCTTGGTGAAAATATTCTCTTCCGTCCACATGTGCTTTTCCTTCGTGGGGATAATTCTTCTCCAAGGACATTTTTTTTCTTAATTCGCCGAATAGATGTCTCGGATACGTTCAACCTTCGAGATATCTCAAGATTTGAATAATTTTCCGTGTCGACAAGTGCTTTCACTGCTGCGATCTTCTGAGGAGACAAATCACTTTCCTTTCCCATTAGTTTTATTTAAAACTATCGGTTTTTCGTATACAACAATTTTTAAATAAACACGGCTATAACTATTTCACAAACTAATAAATGGAAAATAAACTATCTTCATGCAACAACTCACTACTCATGTCACCTCTTGTTCTACTCAACTCTTGTAATTTGTGCGTCTAAGCAACAATGGTACATAATGACAAATAATGTGTTAATTATTAGAAAAAGAAGCTTTGTTTTTGTTGATTGATTCGCAACAATACCAGATGTAATGTACTGCAGTGAGATACTTCAAAACTTAACATTTTGTTAAAAATTTGGAGTGCGTCTAATAATATGGCCAGGGACTGTAGCAATCATGTAGCTGAATTCACAGCTGATCCGCCTTCAGACCACAGCTAACTACACAGTCCCCTAAAATTTTTATGGAAGATTAGTTACGTACTGCATATGTTTAATTTGGCAGATCCTCGTTAGCCCTTCTTGTATCATTGAAATGGCAAAACAATAGTAGGCCAATGTAAAGATCGACAGTGAAATCAGGATGTAGGATCGAATTTTGACTTTGGCCTTTCTTGCACTGAAAGAAGTGTCTTTAAAGCACATCTTGACCATGCAAACAGAAAATCACTAAAAACTGATATTGGCCATTCTTGCACCAAGCCCCGGATATATTTGTGGTTATCGATACTCGACTATTAAGAATTCTATCCTTTCTAACAAGCAACAAAATGAACTATGCGTCACAGTCAAAACAATAACAGAATACTTCACTGTGGCCTGCAGCAATAAAAATGCTGCCTAACAGAACCACAGAAAATCCCTCCCCCCAAAAAAAGTAGCACGCACACTAATGAAAAACAAAAACCAAGAAAAAAACGCTCCTCAGAGCAATTCATATAGTTTTCACATAGCTTCAAAGAACGTGGTTTTTACAATCGATCAAAGTAAATTCCTTCGTAGCTATCAACTATCCTAATAACTTGAGACTCCACGCCCAACACTTCTACTGGTTGTTACCACACAGAGCAAATCTCAACACTTATGTAGGGCAACCAAATTATTATTTTTGATGCCTTAAAATAGAAAGCAGCAGGAGGTAGAAACAGAAAGCAATAATTGAATTATTCAGATATTTGACTTTACATGCCCATTATTTAGAATGTATTATTGAAATGACTTTCTAGATCTACTGGTGACTCACCTCGCCGTGAAATGCAGCACAAAGGAAAGGAGTACGCTCCGAATTATCACGTTCTTCCAAATAATCTTGATTTGCCGAGTGGAAATTCAAGTAAATAAGTAACTTTTCCACTATTTCATATTCCCCTTGCGATATGGCATCGTGTATGAGATGATTTTTACCCATGACTTCACGCTGAAACACACAAACATTCATTTTACAATAATTTTCAGTGTGTAAAACTTGCTAAGAAAAAGTATAATACATACGTACTATAAGAAGTACAGGGAGATCTAATCTCTATGTATATGTACTCTCTGGATCTAATATACAATGTGTTAATGTCACAGATTCAGAAAAAGAACTGGAAGCACTAATAAGGGAAAAAAAGTACTATAAATTGTAATATAACAGAGGTAACAGAAATATTAGGCAATTTTACTCCTGAAGTACAGTTCAAGAAACCGAGAAAATTGTTAAACTATTGGGAAATGATTGTGTGGTTCAAACTGTAATAGAATTGGATGAAAAAGAACTGGCTTAGATGGTAGCTTCCAGAGCCGGACACTTTCATGTTGACAGTTTATAAAAGATAAATTAATTTGAACTGCAAATGGGCATAATCCGGTGGCAGCTAATTACATAAATACGATAATACAGTTAACAAGCAAATTATATAATAATAAAAATAACATTAATAATAATGATATAAAACTCTAATTCCTAAAACATTTAAAATAACCTAAAAAACAAACAAACAAAAAACATAATCCAACTCCGCACTGAAATTTTGTTCAACTGCACATCACTTCACTATGACCTTTTATTCACTTTCTACATTATTTATCTGTCCTACACTGCATGACACCTCACTTCACAATATATTACACATACCCTACTATTGTCAGATAATTCCCTCATTTATTTAGTAATACCCTAAATTAATTTCCTAAACTGATGTACGATAGGAGGTAAAGGTTCAAAGGTTTTTGCACGCAATGTATTCTATTCTTTTATCGTACGATTTGTAAAAGAAAATTTCCCCACGTCTGTTCTCTGCGGTCTAACATTTATTTTGTGCCTGTGATCCCCCTACTGATGTATGTTGGAGTACTTAGCCACCGATTAATTTCTTTCCAAGCTGGATGACCGCTATAAGCTTTATACAAAAGCGCACAGTCATGATAATACTTTTTTTTTAAATACTGATCGTCTATTTTCGAGAGAATCCCATTTTGCCAAATTCTTGTCTCTGAAAGTAAATTTAGCTGCCCTACGCTAAATTCTTTCTAAATTTTTACACTGCATAATTTTGTGCGGACTCCAACAAATTGTTCCATATTCCATTATCGGACGAACAAGCGATAAATAACAATTTCCTTCGCGTTTGCCGTACTCTTTTTTTAAGGTGCGCATTACAAAGCCGTGTAGGCCATCATAGAGCCTTATGAGGCGATGATTAGTATAAAATAATAAATAACAATAATTTACACTGAATTGAATGATTCAGAATTAATAAAGTTTTCCATTTGCTGTTAGTAAATGCTCTTTGCTAATGTTGCTGGTTTCGTATGAAGAATTTTGACTAGCTTATAGTTAAGGTGGTTAGAGCAATATATTCCCTAGTAGATAGGGAGTCCATATTACGTTGAAAAATAATTATTTGCCAGATAAGTGGGTATTGTGGGATCTATGTAAACCAAATAGGACTTTTATGTTGAGTTTTATTTAATTATTTGAATTAATTTAGTTTAATAGATGTAAAATGAAAACATTTTAATACCACATAAAGAGCTACCGTTGACTAGTTTCTTAACTTGTACCAACAGATCGCGTAGCCACGGAATAAAAAATTGAAGCATAAGATTGAATATAAAAAAGCACTATTACACAATTAGTAAGAGCAAAACCATAAAACGTAACAGCATAGACACATACTTATATATTTTTGTGCAGTAATTCCTAATAATGGCAGAAATTTCAATGTTTGAGTGAGGCGAAAAGTCTTTAATAAATTGGGCAACGCCGTAATGTTTTTGACATTGGCATGACTGCTCACGGCTCATGCTTCTTCAAAGTTTTTTTGTTTTTAATCACTTTGAATACTGTTTGTTGCCTGGTCGACATGCAGTAAATATCACAATCTGAGTGAATTGGCGGAAGGTTTATTTCCAAAGCGGAATTTGAGAGATAACGAAATAAATCCCCCAATATCATGAAAACAGTGAGGTAATAAAAAGTTGTCAAATATTTTTTCAATGTTTGTTTCTCTCTAATTTTTATTTCTTGAATTACCTGAACCAATGAGAGGGCAAACCTTAGATTATTCGATTGCGTAACAAGATCAAAAGTTTGGTTCTCTCCAACATTGTATAAAGCTTTATATTTAACTTGAGAGACATCGTAATCATTGACTTCTACTGCTCCTTATTATCCTTCTTATCACATCATATTTTGTTGTTTTTTCTGTTATTCCCTATTTTATTTTGCTTAGTTATCTAAACTTCATGATCTATTTTTAATGTTTTAATAGTTTGATTGAAATTTTAGGACTATTTTAGCAATGTGCCGCATTATTTCCAGCGATGCGGTTATGTAATTCATAGGAACTATTTGCTGTTTTTCAGTATAATTTTATATCATGTTATGATATTGATTTAGATGCAAATTATTGTGTAAATTACATCAAGTTAAAGCTGATAAAATGAAAATACTGCATCATATAATTCTGAGAGCTGTGTTATTGAGATCTTCAATAATAAAATTATACCATTGTTGGAGACAAAATCTTCAAAAGAGATTTCTGAGTCGCATAGTCTTTTGTAATTGTTTGTCTTGATGTTGCACTCAAAATGAAAAAAAGGTTTAAGGGCCGAATTCATTGTAATTCAAGCGAACCCTTAAGTGATAAGTGCTTTCTCAAAATAAGTGTTCACTTATACGCGCTCGTATTTCATAGACGTTCCTTACGACCGCGGAATGAGTGTTCCCTTAAGCGGAAAGGAAATGTGGCAACATGGCATAGACGGCAGTTGTTTCGAAGTTCTTGGCAACCGAGTTTACATACGCACTTCATCTTGTACAAAGAAAGTCCAATTTAACAGGGGGCGGACACTCCACAACGTAGAGTTGACGTCGCGCGCACAACGAAATACTTCTACTACCTCTAATATGTCCTCATACAGACAAAGCGAATTGGTTTGATATTGGTATCTTTTACTAATGTGATAACTACCAATCACTAATAACAAGCATATTTGTAACAATTTAATCTATGATTCTCATATAATTTCAATGACTGTCACTGCTACCATGTTAATATTTAAAAAATATATTTATTACAAATCCCTAATAATAAGAAATGTTTGGTAAAAAATATAATCCATGAACCTCTGCAATGTCTTGTGCAATTTCTACACATTATTTATGTGCATTATTGGATTGTAATATAATACTTAACATCAGTTTCAATTGATTCCTCAACGTTAACTTATGCTCTAGTATAACTAATAAACATAAGGTGGTGGTGTGGTAACATGGTATGAACATAAGTCTGCCAATATTGGTAATGGATTATTAACATTTCATGTAATTGAAAATGTCCACCCCTCATAGCATTAACATAAATTTCATTTCACAACAATTTAAATTCATATTGCGAAATTAATAATTACTTATAATAGGCGTTATAAATCAGAAATGAATAAAAGTTTAAAATTTTGGAAACATTCGTGAAAGGATGTAGTTGAATAACATTTTAATGCAACTAGAACTTTTATTAAGGGGGAAATCGGCATTCCTCGTTCAGTCATTGGGACTTTTGTCGATCATCGGCACAAGTGTACCCACTGCAGTAGTTTTATTGAAACGAAACAGCTTTCGGAATTGTTCATCATTCTATTTCATTTCCAATCATCATTTTAGTACATTTCCAATGAGTTGCTCGTATCTCTAATATATCTCTCAGAATTTCGCAGGATGTGTTGAGTATAAACCTCAAAATAATTATTGAAGTCGTTTTCTATAACATGTTTCACAAATGATAGATTTTAACTGCCTACACTATACAAACGCAAGCAAAACGAATTCAATAGTCGGTGAACGCCGCGTAAAACTATAACCTAAACTGGTTACGACTGACGATGCGAGGAAGCCATATGGGACACTTAAGAGAGCAGGCTGCCTAGCTTACAGGAATGAGTGCTCTCTTAAGACTTCACTCAAGGGGTGTTTATGAATACGATTCGTCCACTTAAGGGAACACTCAGTCTATGAGACGACTATGAATTCGGCCCTAAATGTTTTGAAAATAAAATGAGAACCATTCAAAATGCATTATTATTGTTGAGGAAATGCAAACAATTAGATAAAATATAGTGCTGAAGAGAAAAGGAGATTCTATTAAAATACTAAAACTACCAAAGGCTGAATATATCATTCCTCTTACAATTTCAATAAAATGTAATTATTAATTATAAATGTAATTATTAAATTTGCCCAAGCGGATTTAAATACTACAGACCCTCCAGCACAAAACTATACTGGGCACTCATTCAAAAAATCTTTAAAACTAATTTAAATTTATCATTTACAAATACATGTTTGGTTTCTTATTGTTCCATTCAATTTATTTTTAAAATCAAACGTTGTTCAGTAAACTATTTGATTAATGCTTATTCAAATAAAAACATTTTATGAAGTTTTTAATATTTATTTTAGAAAAACGGGCACGAGGATGGGAGTCCCAAGCCTAATTTTGCTAGGAGGAAATCCAGCTTTGCATTCACCTGTACATTGAATGGTTACCATAACATTTCATAAAATATTACTTAACCCCAGCATTTTATTATCACCAGCAAAACAGTATTTTATCATTGCAACTCATTTGAAGTCACTGCAATATCTATTTCTTTCTGAATTAAATGCCACTCAGTAGCAATACCGTTTGAGGTGCTGATCTATGCTAAAGATTGTTGCTTAGTTCTATGTACGCATCTGTGGTGCAAAAGACAATGACAATCCACTGTGTATCTCCATAATAAAAAAGAGAATATCAATAATTTTCGAATAATTTAATAAATAATCATTGTTCAGGAGCAAGAAACTGACGTTCGGAACAATACAAAACAATAATACTGTACTGAATGTTTAAAAAATTCTATAAACTCTCAAGATCACCCATTTTCTCAGATAGTA